TTGGCTAATAGTTTCATATTTAAGCATATTTCAGAACTCTAATTGTTAGCGAAACAATTGATTTTTTTGGTTTTTATAGTAACGTAAACATTTTGCCAAACCTCATGTTCTATTCTATTTCTACCAAAGGGTAGTTCATTTGCCCAAATAACATGCTTTTCTGCGATAAAGGGAACCTTATCTTGGCCAGATTAAAGTCGTCTATCGAATCGCTAGGCATATTTCTACCGAACCAGCAACAGAAAGTATGGTAATGAAAAGAGCGATTCGCATTAAGCGATATTCCTTCTATTCCTATGCAAGAGCAAGACGTAAGCGGAATAAAATAGCAGGATCTTAGTCATGTGCGTCGGTTCGATCGTTCTAAAAAGCGCAAAAAGACGCGAGAGTGTTGCCAGAATTGACAGCGACCGAGACAAGCAAATACGATTAGAATTTGTAAAAATTGTCTTCGGGACACGGATTTTCGATCGAGTTTCGCGGCTGAATATCGAGAAACTCTATCTCGGAGCGACGAGCACGGCGTTAGCATAATTTAACGAGTGAATCACTGGCTTCGTGAGTTTCCTCGAAAACCGCCGGGAACCGTTTTCACTCTCTCTCTCTCTGTCTCTTTCTCTCTCGCGGCAAAACACCGATGTTTACGTCTCTCCGCACGCGTCGCAATAATCGCGGCGTGGAAAACACGACGCTGGTGCACGCGAGTCGCACGTGTTCCACCGACCTCCTCCAATCCCTTCGCCCGTCGCTACCGAACGAGGAAAACTATCGCGAGAAAACCCTCGAAAAACTCCCGTACAACGATGCTCGGTTAACTGCAAGCCACTTTCGATCGGTTGTCATCGGCAATACTCGATCGACACTCGTCACGATGGTAGTCAATATTAACAGCCGATGGCTAAAGACGGGAGCGTATAGTGTCCAGTTTAGTTATCCAAGCATCGGTGTAAGAGAAAACGAAGGTTTGCGCGTGGAGAGAGACGTCCAAGAGGAAAACGTACCTAGGTAAAAGGACGTAGGAGGGAAACTCGTGAAACCAGCACACGACAGGCACAGAAGTTAGCTCAAAAAGAGTCCCCGAAAGTAAACCCTTGAAAGGAAAACACGTGAGAGGGTCGCGGAAGCGTGAAAGCACGGCACGTCGAGTCGGTGAAAAGCGCGGCTGCGGCATGGCACGGTATAAACACCAACCACTCTCGGAAGCGTTAAAAAGCGTATTAAGCTCAGCCAGGAAGCGTGAACCATAAAGAAAACTAGAGGAGCACTGGTTCTGTTGGTGGCGAAAAAGAAGGGGGAAAGTCGAACCACCTGTCCTACGGAAGGGGCCTGCAGGTAAGTCGAGACATCCGGTTCCACCATGCAGCTCCTCAGAGTGTCCGGGATGAACATGAGTAGCTGGGACGTCGGCTGTGGCACAGGCTGAAGCCGGCTTGCACCGCGCTGACGGTCCTCCAGCGAGCGGATACCCGCGGACAGCGTCGTCCTGACGTCGCGTCGCGTCCACGATCAGCGATAAAGGTAGCAGAGTCGGAGCAGGTTGTAATCGCGGACTACGCGTCGCACCGGGTGGACCAGGAACTGGACCAGCGTACCGGACGACTCGGGGACGGTTTCGAATCACCGCAGAAGCGTAAACGGGTCGTCCGAGCGTCGCGCGACGGTGGTCGCTGCCTTCGTTTCTGACTGGCCGGTTGCCTGGTCGCCGCGGCTGTCCTCGGCGTCGGACGGTCGTCACGGTCGTCCGGTTGGTCCGGTGTCCAGCGACCGCCGCGAGGCGTGTTCCTCCCCTGATCGCGCGCGATCGCGCACCTATCGGCGTGGTTCGCTTTCACGCGGGACTGTTCGGTCGTCACCGCGGAACCGGTCGCTAAGCTGACGATGTTGCTGCTGCTGATGGTGGTCGCGTCGTTGCTGAACCGTCGGTTGTCGGGTGGTGGTGGAACACCGCACCCAGGCACACGCATCCTATCTAACCACGAGCCACAACTCCTGACTCTCGACTTTAGGCCCTCTCTGTGCTCTCTCGTGCCACGCAAGACGGGGCTCGCTCGCTCGCTCGCACTCGCGCTCTCTCCCTCTCGCTCTCGCTATCCCTAACCCCTCTCCTCCGTGGTTCGCCGTTTTCCCTACCCTCCTCCTCCCTCTGACTCCTCTTTCCCACTCCTCTCCCTTCCTTCCTTCCTTCGCGGCCAGCTAACCCTTACACGCGACTTTCCGTCCCTCTCTCTTTCTCTTTATATTTTTTTACTTTATCGCCGCCGAATCCTCTGACTTTTATGCAACCCTATTTTATTACCAGACTTTTTTATCCCTCGATTCGACCCCTTTTTCTCGCGCGAACCCGTGGCTTATCCCGTCCGTCTCAGCCACCGCGACGACAACGACCACGACGACGACGACGAGACCACGGTCGACCGGGTTGTTCCTTCTCGGTTCCTACTAGCTTCCCGTTCCCGTTCGAGAGACGCCAGGCCCCAGACTACGCCGACTCCGAGCCACCGGCGCTGCGTCGGCGTCGGCGTCGGCGTAAAAAGCACCGGCGTCGCGCAAGCTCGCCGGGAGCGCGCCGCGAGGACGCCTCGATGCGTCCGGACGACGACGGAGAAAGAAAGATAGGACGACGAGAGACGTGGCAAACTTAAGGAATAACAATATTCTAACGGAGCAAGTTTACGGAACAAGATGCTCCGCCGCGAAACCGACACGATCAAAGTAATCGAATCCACTACGCGCAAACCGGGACACGATTGACGATGACCGACCGAGCACGAGTATACCGACCAAATCGATCAAACGTTCGCCGTGTCAAGACCATTTAAAGAAAGTTTTAATTAAACGAGGTTCGACCGAACGTCCTAAATACCGCGAAAATATCGAAAGATACTGAGTATATCAACGAAATAAGGAACGATGGTAAAAAAAAATTAAAATTAGCGTAACAAGATTAGGGTATGCAGTAGATCGAGGCGAACGAACACTTATCGTTTGGTGTGGACGGCACCGCGAGCACGAACGAACGCATTCCTATCTTAGGAACGAGTTAAAATTGAGCAAAATCGTCATTTTTGCATTGGAATGAAAAGCGACTTACTCTTGGTACTATTATTGTCTACTACCACTACTACTGCAAAGCCTCGTCAAAAACCGCCATCTTTGTTTAAAAAGGGGACTAAACAGCTGCATGATAATTGACAATGAAAAGAAAGAGAAAAATAATACTACTAAATACGAAATAGAAATTGAAGGGTGGATTTCAAGAAATGCAAATTTTTAACCATACTCTGGCGTAAGACCAAAGGAAGGCCGAAAGTTAATTCGTAGATCTAATAATTTTGATAACACAATACACTTTTGCGTATTATTTTCGATTTCAGAGTACGAATGTTCGTTTGTGTTCGTGTTCGTGTTAGGTATAGACATTAACAGAGAGAGAGAGAGAGAGAGGTAGGGTGAAACGAACCAGAGGCGGAGAGAAGTTAGGAAAACTGGCGCGCTAATCGTAAGCTTCTATTTATCCGGCTCGTTTTCGTCTACCTGCCTCTTCCTCGCGTGCTATCTAGAGCCCAGCAGTGTCGCAGCCAGTCCCTCCGGCGTGTATTTTTGGGCGCTCGTTAGGAATTAGCGCTAGTGGGCCTCGAAGGTCTCCACTAGCAACCGAGTTCCACCCTTTTCTCCGCGATCGAAGGTGGGGGGAGGTGGCCTTTGCCGAGGATCAACGAGTCTAAAACCCCCCGTTACGGGCGAACGTCGACCGAGCTCGGGGGTTTAGGGGTTCCAAACGACGCGCCCTCCGCCGCGGAAGTTTGTCAACAATCTTCCGGGACGAGGCTCTACCCTCGAAAATAACGCGCGGTAATCTCCAAGTCGCGACCGTCGCGAAACGAGATTACGCGCCCCCTTTAAAACCGCCACCTCCCCCGCGTCGAGCTCGAGAAAGTTCGTAACTGGTCGCGAGACGACCGCGGGCTTAAAACTTTCCCCGCCGTGGATTCTGTTCGGGTGCTTCTACTTTCCTGTTCTCTCGTTCGTCCAACTAATTTTTCTTTATTTTTCCTTTTTAATCTCAAAGAACGGAAAGTCCCGGGTACAGAATTGTCACGACTCGACTACTCTTGCGGAGGATCCTCGTGTAACGGAGAATCGTTTTTTTGTTTCGCACGGGATAGGAAATCACTGTTATCACGGAACGCGAGTGAACTGTTCGAAACGCGCGAAGACGTCGCGATGCCTCGTGGCCGGAAAACTCACCAACTGCCGCTGGTGAACGGCATTCCCGTGAGACTGGTCTCTACCGGGGGCACCCTTCTCCGTGAAAAGAGGTGTCACCGCGAACGTGACGGATTCCGTGATTCGAGGAGGCCTTTGTGCTTTGCACGGCACGTTGCAGCCGCGGAGGCGCAGGATCGCGACCGAAACAACATTTGCGTTACAACTGCGACCCGACCGGGAAACTCTCGGCCAGAATTGAAATCGTCGATTAGAGCGCCGCGTTAAATCGTTCGCAGCCTAAGCATCCAATTATCTGAACCACGATCTGGACGCTCTTTAAACGATGCAATTTAAAAAAAAAATCCCTTTGCGGACGGAACGATTCAACGCGGCTTTTAACTTCCTCCGACCGATCAGTTTTTTGTTCGAAGCTACAAAACCGTGCAGTACGAAGAAGGGAATTGTTTTCATCTCTCAAACGATCGAATTAAACAGATATTCGTATCGTTACGTTACTCAAATTCAACATAAATTTATGAATGTAACTTTAAATATGAAAACGGAAACCCGTCGGATCAGACTCGAGCTTGCAAGTTAAAAATTGCAAATCGTGCTAGTCACAGGGTTAAAGGAATTTTTCATCTAAAAGTTACCATCTCAAAAAAAAAACTTTCCCATAACAAAAGCTAAACTAAGATCTGAAGAAAGTATGGATTCATTGATTGAACTTAAAATTGGACGGTTCGTGACTATTGCCAGGATATTTTGAGGATAAAGCGGGTATATCCTGACGATGCTTCTTCTCGTTTATTTATATTTACATTAGTGTTAAATCATATGGTTACAATAATCCGTAAGATAAATAGAACTTTATAAATGCAAAAGGAATTGCACGCTTCACGCACACACCCACCGTTTCATTGTTCGTAGTTGATCCAATAAATGATCCAACATTTTATGTAATTGCTACAGCGTTTACGACCAAACGCCTGCCAAAATGTTTGATCGTGTAAAAGGAGAACACGTAGAAAAATAAAAGGTACGTAATCGAAACCTATCTACCAAAATTGAAAACCAGAGATATCGCGGCGCTCTCTCTCGTGTTCTAACTTGACGTTCGATGAAAATCAGTGAAAATTCGATAAACGCGTGATACTCTGTTCGTATATAGTATATACATACATATACGATGCCGTGATAAAGATATCTTTCCTTCATAATTACAATAAAAAGTACCTCTTAGCTCCTTAGCGCTACCGTAGTGATTAAGACAATCGTAATTACAGTCCCTCGGTCGCTTAGTTATGCTAAATAGTGTTTTGGCAGTTGTTCGACGAATTACAATATCCAATGTCGGTGGACGTCAGTTGCGTTTATAATTACTAAACCCCTTGTCAAGTCAACCGGTCGATCGAACTTTTCCTTTCGGAAAAAGTGTACAAACCAGCAGACAAACGTCCTGCCCCTTTCTCAAAATGTGATTACAAACTCTGAACGTACCATTCGTAGACTAAACCTCCGCTATTGACACGCATGGTATCAAATTTCATCCACCAATAAAAATTACAATTTTTATAGTTTTTCATACCTTTATAGTAGTATTAGAAATAGATTGACAAGGTTTATCCGATAACAATGAGCCCAAACACGACCTCTTTCAATTACCTATGTATTTGTATAATTAATTTCATACACGATTAACACGTTCACTGCCACAGCGGTCACCGGTGACCGGCACTTTAAATATACAACGCGTTGTAATACTCTTTACGATGGAAGAACCCTAATACTTGTGAAATTTTAAATAACGCTTAACCCCTTAGCCGTAGAATTTAATCACAAGTAATTTTTCAAATGTATACTGTTTAATTTAATTAGAGATCCCCAGTTCCCATGCATCTAAAATATACGGGTGTCGATATTGGGCAAAAGTTATTTCGAATAACGAACAAGTTGATCTTACGTGAAGTAAATCTTCAAGTAGCAATAAAACGAATAATACTGAACGAATAAACGATCAAAGAATTATAATCGAATAATGAATAAAATTTCGTCTGTTATTCCTTGTTTGGATAGAGATTTATTCGAGTAACGTCAAACGCTGATGGGTACACGTGTCTCTACCCGTAACGCCGACTCAACGCACTGATTATTTGCCGAGCCCCACGCAACGGATGTTCTCTTCCAACGCTTTGCCAGGCAATGGATTGAAAACGAGCATCCGTTGCTCGACATTCGATAAATGCCGGATGTGTGAAACCCAGTATAAATATAAATGCGCTCGTTCGGTCTCGAAAGATAACCGAAACCAGCCAGAACACTGATAAGACGATAAAAGGAAATGATTTTCGCTGACCGTGATATATTTCTGATCGGACAGTTGACTCGACGACGACTTTAGTATTAACAATGCTCAATATAACCGATGGCTTCACGATTAGGAATGTCCCTTTAAAATTCCCTGGTATCCGACAAAATAAACCATCCTATCTTGCGTCGTACTGTATTTTCGTTCCCTTTGTGCTAGACTTACTTGCAAAAGTACACGCTATTACCGAAGTACCTTGGTAAAAAGAAGATCCGCCTATGAAAAGATCGCTTAAAACGCCAGTCTGTATCTACAGTTTACAAACAACTTCATTGTCAATAAGTTGTTATAAAAATGTACACTATGAACCGATTATGCAAAATTCATGAGACGATTACAAGATTGGAAAAGTCTAGACTCGAAAAGGCATTCCTGATTCCTACGAGAAAAGTACCTTTGTCGCGTGTAAAATTTATAAAGTGGTTTTCACAGTTCCATCATGTACGATATTTATATCCCAGATTCAGAGGATATTAAAATTAGTTTTAGAACGACGCTTTTTAAACAGATGCCAGTTCACCGTTCCGTTTCCTTCTTCGGGAGAAACAAATACACTCTTTTCGACGCGATCATCTCCCGCTATTCGCTAAAACGCATTCAATTAATATATCATTTTGTACTTACATGTACGTCAGACTTGTTATTCGTTACACAGCTGGAGATAACATCGATTAATCGAGAAATTTATTTAATGAATTTTGTAACTGGAAAACAGCACGGATTGTTATTTGGATAAAGGGTCGCTTAAAGTAAGTTAGGAAGTTATCCTAAAAATATTTCTAACTGCGTTAATCAGCTTAGTTTACGGGCACTGTTACTTTCAGCGACCTGGCATTTGCAATTATTGCTATGTTGGTAACACGCCGTGTCCCAGGAATTAAAACTGGAATGAAAATTGTCGTTCTAACAAATGGCATTACACGTCACATCTAATCCATATTATATACTGACCCTTTTCAAGAATTCTTCAGCGCATATGCGAGCTCTGGCATTCATTGACAATTTCATTTCACTGATCTCTCTGTCGATTTCTTCCATGAAATGAATGACAAAGTCTACGATTTTATGTTTGTACATTTGTTCTACGTGGATGTTTGTGATTAAAAAACTAATGTTATAACCCTACGGAATGATTCCAACATTACCAATTCTGTTCGTGCAAATTTCTCTCGTTTAATGTTCTGCAAATTTAAAGAATATTTACCTCTATCGGCTTCCTCCTAAGAATAACAAAATGTTCTGCTCTCATTGTCATGAATCTTGTGAAATTATGACACAAAATCTTCTCCATATCGTCTGCCTGTTTCACGGCGATACTTATTCTCATACTGTTTATACTGGACTCGATCAGCACCTTTTCCTTATCGTTTCTACTTATCAATATTGGAGTCAGAAGGAGCTCCTTATTGTTTCTCACTTCAACTTCAGGTTTATTGTGCCTCTCAACAATTTGGGACGAGAAATTCTCAAGACACATTGCGGCTGTAAGCGTCCGCCTCACTGCTGTCAGATAAGGCTTCAACGTTTCCGACTGTAAAAAGAGAGAAACTAAGGTTGCAACATTTCACGTTATCTCCGTGACTGTAAAATTATCCCGACTATCCTTTCATTAATTATGTGTTTGTATAAGAAATAAACTGTCGAAAGGTAAACAAAATCTTCGTCACATCAACATTCTGTCTCATCGATGAGGAATGTTATCTTATTGAAAAATACAAATCGCCATAACCTATTTTTCACGGTTAGAGAAGAAGTGCTCACCATCTTGCAAAGAAGCTACGAGAATCTCGCGTCCCGACTGAAATCTATCAGCGTCGTGCTCCCTTCGACGGTCCGGTTTTTCTATGAAAGGTTCACGGAAACACGTGAAAGATGACACATTACGTTCTATGCATATCAAAGGGGGGTTGGGTTCGGCCGGTTTGATTTCAACAGCGTGGGGCGTGTTCCGAAGTTCACTGATAACGAGGACAAATTCGTTTCTCTCTCTATTCGACACACGGAACTCCGACGGAAATACGGTGACGTTCGTCAATGGATTTGAGCAAATTCGGAACGTATCCGTATCCTAGAAAAGAATCATCGCGGTGCCTTTATGTATACGCCTGAATTCCTGCAGTGTGCGCAACGAAATTCGTTAGACGATGATGATTGGCAAATTCCGTTATACGCGAACGACCAGAAATCCTTACTATTAATTCTGACGAATTATCATTTGTGCAATCCTTTAAGCAAATGTTTTCAGTGCTTCTGACTTTTTATTAACGTTCGCGTAATTATTCTACTTCGTATTCGAAATGTACGGTAAATACACAAGTAGCAACGACCGAACGATCACGTGATAATTGTTCGAGTCACTAGACTTAAAAGAAAGGATTGTACTCATTAGGTTCCGTCGTTCCTACGATTGTATGTATGCGTTAATGTTTCGTAGTCAGAAATTTATAGCTTGAGAATTTTTTCTGTTTACTGAAGAAAAAATTGGTGCACGAATTGAACCTAAACAAAATACTACAAATTATGTATGTAGCACAAATCGAGACAAAAAAGGAATGCAACGTGTTTTCGTACCTTCGATTTCAAGGTTCTTGTCTGCTTAAAAATTGAAATTTGAACAAATATTCATAAAGTCAATGTTTAAGTAATATATTTTCAATATTGTTTTTTTCGTAAATAAAAACTCCACGATGAAATCGTTTCACATGTTCGATTTTTCTTGAAAAGAGAAATCACCGTTTATCACGTTCTTTCACGTATTTTGGAACTGTCGCGTATTTTAGCGGGGAATTTGAGATAAGAACGCGGGTTGGTGCCCGTGGAGCGCAGAACCGCTCTGCTTGTCGGAGTGTGGGAATTTAATAAAACTAGACAAGAGAACTCTTTCGTTAGGTAACTTCGTACTTTATTCTACTGGTCCGAAGGCCGGTTAGAGACGCAATGACATAAGAAAAATCGTAGCGTTTCGAAGTCACCTCCGAGGTCCTCGCCGAAGTCGTTGGCCAAATCCTCCTAGTCCTCCCATAGATCCTCGTAGTCCAATCAGGGTGAAGGACGCATCAGATCCAAGCGGTAGGCCGTCCTTCCGATGCACGCACGCCCCCGCGAATCGGCGTCTAACTTTCCCTCCGTCTTCGGGTGGTGGTGGGAACTCGGTGGAGTCGCGCTTTTCCGTTACACAGCGGGGTGCCTACGTGGGAAGAGAAAATAGGCTCTGCTCCGAGGATCGAGAGAACAACCCTTGAAGGAAATTTATGACTTCCTTAGCGTTGCCAACATTTCTGGAGTCGATCGACGCTCCTAAGACTAACAAAAGGACAAGGCCTTTTCAAGAGGTTACGTGACTTACAAGAAACTCGCGATTCGTTTCGGGGTCTGCTAATTGGTGTCCTCTTCCTGTTTTCGAGCTCTACCCAAGATCTTTCCCACGCGTGCCACCAGCATCGCGCATCCTTAACAATATTCTCTCAATCACGCATAACCATCCGCTTTTGAATTTCGCTCCTAATTTACCTATCGATTATTATATTTCTGGGGCTACGTTCGCGTGGTCACGCAACACCTCCCTCCATATAGAAAAGGTGTTTCCAATGGAAACATCTTTTAAAAGGAAAACAATATATAATAATACTTAAGTATATGAAAATGGAATGAATACATATTTCACTTATGTGATTATAACTACGCCTCCTCTTCCCGCACCAGCCCCGCGGTAAACGAGCTACTCGGTCCACCCATTGTCCCGCAGGAAGCACGAGTCGAAGAATGATAGTTATACCACAGCATTACAGTAGCAAGATATATTCTATTACTAGGTAATATTAAATCGATTATAATGTAACGCATAGCTAGTGTCCAGTATTAATAGAGCTCCCTAACTAAACTTGACTAAATATTTATCCAAAAACGTTATAATTCTTATCCGATCTAAAATAAACATAACCCATAACATAATAACCACACTTATAAAATGAAACTTAGATTACGCATACATAATATTAACATTAATCTCCAGAATCAGTAATATCTAGTCTTGTACATGCTAGTTTAAGCTTGTTCGCATGAACTATCTTAGATTTATTCGCTGATATTGCTATTTCTATCGTTAAATCATCGTACATTTGAATAATCTTATAAGGACCCGTCCAGCTCGAGTCGAATTTGGAGGTTTTGGGTTCCTTAAGTAAATATACATCATCGTTTACACAGAATTGGCGAGGATTAACATTCTTATCATAATACTGCTTACTCCTTTCTTTTGCTTTTTCAAGGTTATTTGCCGCTGTGGCTTGGGTGGTAGTGAGTTTCATGAAAAGCTGATCTAAATATTCAATGAAAGTTCGTGGAACTTCCCGTTTGGCAAATTCAGTGGGAATAATGGCCTTTACGCCGAAACCAAGCTCATGGGGAGTGAAACCGGTGGCTTCATGCACAGAGGTGTTATAGGAAAATATCCCGAATCTGATCCAATCATCCCAATCTGATTTTGTGCAATAATGTTTTAGATAATCAATGAAAACACGGTGGGCGCGCTCTAAAGACCCCAATGATTGAGGATGAAAAGCGGTGGAGGTAATCCTACGAATTTTAAAAATCCTGCAAAACTTCTCATTACTTTACTAATGAAATTACTACCCTGATCCGTATGAATGGCTCTAGGACAACCAAACCTGCTAATAAACTGTTCGGCGAGAGCGACTGCTACAGATACAGAATCAATATTAGATAAAGGAATGGCATCCGAATACTTGGTCAGATTATCCTGGAGGGTTAAAAGGTATCGATGGAAAACCTATTTCTTAATAGCAAATCCTTGCTAACTTGTGAATCTATACTACAATCAAGAGGTAGGAAGTGAATGATATTGTCTCTGCGCATGAACAGATAATCTTTGGTGGTAAGGATAGTGGGAAATAGAGAGAGGTGTGTCGTCTGTCCATGTAAAATATCAGTAATTAATATTCTATCTTCTTTCTGCATATTATCGCAATCGTCGTCAAGCTCTGATTCATTTCCCTTAGATTTTATTGAGGTCATTCTACCGAGGGTCCTCCGTGCGGTCTTGGTCGCAATTTTACCAGGCTCAACAGCCTCTGCCACGACATAAGTCGAGAAATTATCCGGCTCGTCAGCCTCTCCCACAGCATAAGCTGGGAAACTAACAGACTCCCCACGTCTCTGCCACGATTCAAGATACCGCAGGCCCTGCGATGTCTCCTCAAGGGCCGGACAGAGCGCAGGCACCTTTACTGAACGTAGACCACTTCCAACGGAATGTGAAGCGGCTGCCGGGGGTTCGGTCTCGCCGTCCAACCCATGTCCGAATGGAAGCTGGTCCACAATGTCCAGCTGGAGTGATCCCTCAAAATCCGTATTATCTTTGTTGACATTAAAATTTCTCAAAATTTCGCCCTTGACCTCATTCCGTCCAACCTCTGCCTTCCCGCGCGCCAGGAAAACAGAAGCCACCATTACTTCATTATTATACTCGCGAAATCTGTCGTTCTTCTCGTTCACGTCGGAATCTGCAATCGATGGCTCGTCTGCGCAGACGAGTATCTCTTCCAGACGCCTCGAACAAGAATTAGGAGTTTCGTCTGTCTCAGAGGAATTCAATTGGGAATTGGAAGCATGACTGGAATTTATGTCGGCGACGACGGAATTACGATAGGCAAATCAGACAATATCAGGTTTCATTCCTCCGCGAGTAATCTTATGACTTAAATATGCACTTTTCTTTTGCAGGAAACGACATTTTTCTGCTTGAAGAGCCAGTCCGGCGTTTTGCTTCCTCGGAGGAAAAGATATCAATGATAGGGTTTTAGCACCTCGCCAAAGTGCCTCTCTCTTTTCATTTGTTCGATGCGAAACGCTCGCTAGGCGTAACCGGCTGATATCTTAACGTCCTACCGTCGCTTTTCAAAATTGAAGAACTACGTTTATAATAGAACTACCCGATCCGATTTTCGTTAATTCTTGATAGTCTACTATACTCGCAAATTCTACAAATAAATTCGAAAGAAAGGCATTCGTGGACCGGATGATCGGCTAAACGCGCGGTTTCGCAATCAATCTACACATATAACGGAGAGAGACATGGGGCGACCAACTTTTCAGAGTATATCTCTTCTTTCGGGTTCCGTTCCTATCGCGCCTCTCGTTCGTTTCGAGCCTCTTCATAGAGGATGATCGTCCGATTCTGTTGATAAATTATCATTTTTCCCTGGGGCCGTACGAACAGAGGAAGACGTCGATCGACGGTTACCGCAAATTTCACGTGGTAAGATATATTTTATAAATATTTATCAAAGTTTAGTCAGCATTTTTTTTCCAGCGTCCCTTTTGGTATGTTCCAAAACTACTTTACTTCCTTTTCCTCCTTTTGCATAAATTACTTTAATATTAGTCAGTGGGTCTGATTTTAATTCTTTCTGTTTAATTAGGTTAAGTTGGGAGCCGGTGTCGACCAGAAATTCAGCGGAGCCGCGGTGGAAGTGATTGTGGGTCAAGGAGATGGTTGGTAATTGCGCGACACGATTCAAACCTGTTTCGTAACAAATGCAGTGGACTCGGCGCGGGGAATCAGGGGTTCCCTCCATATCGCGCCCGTTGACGGGGTCCCCTTGGAGTTTAAAGGGTTAGCCCCTAGGTTCGCGGAGAGTAAGGGAGCCGGGGGACGCGTATCCTTAGGGACATGATCGAAGCTGTTCCGACGGCACTGTCTTTCCGTGTGTCCCGTTTTCCTGCAATTACTACACCTGATTTCCTGGTGAGGTGGTACATTAAACCGAGTGTTTCTCATATTCAAACTCTCTCTCTATCCCAGACGCAATATCAATGGCTTTCCTTAATTATCCTCCCTCTCCCTTATCATTAATGTCCTAATATTACTATCACGCAGCCCTCTCCTAAAACCCATTAAAGCTGCCCGATTCAATAGAACCCTGACACCTATAAACTGCTCCGTATCGAATTTTTCCTTAGCTGCTTCCGTACCTCTATTTAAAATCTCGTTTACCCTACCCCCATAAACATCAATGCTCTCATTATCCTTTTGACGTGGACTCCTTAACTCATCATAAACGCGATCAATATCGAAAGACCGGGCAAAAGCAGATTTCAACGAGCTGATCAATTCATCCAACGTAGTTGGCTCATCGCTGTTAGATATCAGCTGATCCGCATGCCCCTCGATTTTATTACGGATCAAAGCGAGTAAGTTAATCCTATTTCCGGGCTTAACTCGTGAGTCTGCGAGCTTGCACTGGTTAACAAATTTAATTATTGAGCAGGACTTCCCATCAAAGCGCGGAACCAAAGCAT